CACTCACTAATTCTTTCATTTCTTCTATTTCTAGATTTTATAAATACTGAGGCCATGAGTATTGAGTCCCCTGAATGGATTTTTCATATCTTATTTAATTCAGTTTTCTGTAAATTATACGTTTTATTTTCATGCAGTAATGCTATTTCAAAGCCCTTCTCCACACCCAAGGCAATGAAACACTTGATTTAACTTATTGTGATGGAATCAGTACATAAACCCCCACAATGTTTAAGATTTAGAAAGTAAATGCCCACTAAGTTGCTAAAGCCCCCAAACTCCAAGTAATACAGAGGACATGACCTCAGTGGTGGCAAGTAGGAACCAGTGATCCATGCCCACTTTGATGACTCAAATGTGTACTGAAGTGTGGAAAATAAGTCAACTTTGACGTTTGTATTCAACTAGATATTATATAGTATTAATCACATTCTGAGTAGCCCACCTTAAACTCTGATGTAGATCTGGGACCTTGCCAACCCATGTCATATTCCATCTTCTAAAAGGAATGGCATCTAAAAAATGCTGACATCATGCTGACACATGGTAATTTGATCAAGCTCATACCATTATTAGTTAAAAACTGGGCAGCAAAATCCCTTACAGCATGTCTCTTTTTCAGTCCAACATTATGCAATAAATTATATATAACTCACTGAACTAAAAATACATGAATACATCTATTGATAATTTAGGCTGGCAGTTGTGCTGTCCTAAATGACTAAATCTCTTAACCCTTTTTAGGCTATGTTCACACTGCAAGCCTCAGCGCTCTATTCTGATTTATTGCTCAGATTTGATTTTTTGGGTTTTGTTTGGCTGTTTACATTATTTTTTTGAATGTGGCCCATATCAGATTTCAGTGTGAACAGCCATGATTAATGTCCAGCTAGAGTGACGTAAAAGTCACATGACGTCACATGATGAATAGACCTGTATCTGATGTATATGTGAAAGTGATCTGAATCAGAATTGTAAAGATCATATTCAATGTGATTTGTGCTATTCACACAAAAAAATCTGATTTGGGTCACTTTGGCCAGCAGTCTGACCGTGTCCTTATTCTCTCCATCAGTGTCCATCAGTACAAAGGACAGACAATCAATTAGCCTTGCTTGTGTGTGGTGGATCTGAGTTTGTCATACCCAGCAAATAATTAGATTTTATAAGAATTCCATTCAGATGTTTATCGTCCTACTACAGGAAGTTCTTTTTTTCAGCAAGGAATCATACAAACATCAAGCATTAACACAATAAAAACACTATAAGACAGGAAAAGTCTCCTGACTATCTTAATATTTAAAAACCTTAGGAGGAGAGTTTGTTTTGGGTGGAATGGTTTATTGATGAGATGCACTGAAGTGGACAATGTGACATTTGTTCATCAAATCTGTAGCTGTTGCCTGTAATCAACAGGAAATAGCTGGTACTTTTGCTGCAGGGGTCTGTCCCATCGACTAATCTGTGAGGCCACTCAAAAGGACCGCTTCACAATACATAAACTGGTGACTGCAGAGTGAAGGTGACGCTGACATTGGCCAGGATCCTGTTCAAGGTGGTATAAGTATATTTTTATACTGTAAATGTTTAATTTTCTCATTTAGATCGTCTAGTGTAGACATTCATTTTAATGGTCCAATGGTGCAGTAAGGATACTTCAACAGCTTCAGGGCTGGCAGTCTATAAAACCTGCAATGAAACCTGCCTCACAGTCCTAACTAACTCATAACCATTGCTTTAAATGGAGAGTTTTAGTGTCCCATGATCTACACGCCGCCTCTCTTCCCTGTAAAGAATAAAATTCTTATGAAACACTGAATCCATCTAATCTGTTGGAATTTTTAGCATGAAAATGACTATAAAATGAGTATTTGTCCGTACAAATTGTTGTCTTATGACTACATTCAGCTCTCTGGTTTCAAACAACTGTCGTATGTTCACATATACTGGTTGAAATTCTAGACCACAAGAATAACACAAAATCCTAAACTGAAATGTTGTTTTCTTTTAATATAGACTAATACAATCCAACATTTACATTAACTGAGTTTGTGCTTGTATATCATGACTCAGAGTAATCATTCTGTGTTTTCCCAGATACAGATATGCACAACTTAAACCACCCATGATGTGTTTTGTTGACAGTGTTACATCAACACATCATTTCCTTTGGGAAAGATAAATGCTAGACATCACAACAAGGCCTGTAATGATGCTCTGCCCTTTACTCTGGTAGATACTGCCCCCTTGGGGCGTTTTGGGGATTTCTATTTCAAAGTGGAGGCACATGAATTATTTACATTAGGTAAAAATAATATTTATGATAGGAATAAAAATCTGAATGAAGAAAGAGTTTGGTTCTAATAATAGTTAAGAATGCTAATCTAATGTTTCTCAAAGCTTTCAAGAATGCATCTGACGTTAGTGCTATCACACCTAACTGAAGCAATTGCATCAAGTATGAAATGTGACCTATGATATGCTGGTGTATGGCCTTACAGTCACATAAAGCATGGGGGCCCCTGTAGTTCAGGGGCTAGAGCAGGTTGGCCACGTGTCGTCTTAGCTCCTTCAGTCAGTGTGTCAAAATGTCCTTGAGCGAGACACTGAACTCCAAATAGCTCCTGATGTGTGTGTATTGGAAAAAATGTGACCCATTTTGGACAAAAGCATCCAAATGAAAGTAAGGTAAACCATTGCTTAACTCGATGGTTCCCAACCTTTTTCCTCAAGGGACCCCTTTTCTGTCGTTGGCTAAACTGACAACCCCTGACTGAATCACATATTTTATGGATATTTCAAATTATATTAAACAATAACAATAACAACTGATAAACTGTACAATGAACCCAAATACTGTCCACAATAACGGCAGGAAGTTTGTGTAAAATTAGCGATTTGGATAAATTTTAAGCAGATTATTTCCTGTGAATATTGAATCATCAGTTTTCCTGATATTTCAGGAACTTTTTATAATTCTCTGTCTGCATTATGTATATTTTTAACAATCATATAAACACTGAATTTGGAAGATGCCTATTAAGTATAGGCTTCTTTTTTGACAAATTCAGTGTTTTCTTCTCCCTGATGCTTGTTCTATTAGCTCTTTAGTTGTTATAACTGCGTACCTTTTTAATGTCGGACAATAAGATATAGGCATACTGTGTATATTTTTAAAGTTTACCTACATGCTTCAAAATCAAGAAGGCCCTTGTGACCCCCCAAAAAGCTTTGGCAACCCCTAGTGGGGGTCCCAGCCCCCAGGTTGGGAACCACTGGCTTAAACCGCCATAGCAATTTACTACTGGCCACCAGAGGTCTCTCCTCTCACACTGGGCTGGGTCAGATATCCTGATGAAGACAACACTACTATATTGAGTTTACAAATGCATAAATATAAGTATACAAGTCTTGTTGTGTCTTCTTCATCATCCTTCATACATGTCAGTCCTATGCATAGGACATCCAGTTCACTTCCACTTCCGACTGTGTTCAGGGAGATTTTCTTTATAGCACAGCACATGAAATATTGAAGAGGAGTGTAGTCTCTAGGGAACAGGAATTACTTCAGTATGCAGCTTGCATCACATTAGCAGACTTGTGACGTATACTGTTCCTCTGATCCGGAGGATATCACATTATTGCTTTGTCTGGGCTCCATGTTTGCTTCACACTAAATATTTCTTGCTATTTTCTGTCCTGTTAATTTGGTCCTCACTGGTTTGATGGCTTTCCAGGTCTAGAAAGTGTTTCTGTGTAGTCTGTTGGGGAAGCTAATTGGAGCAATGTCAAAGTCATACCTATTCAATTTAAGTTAGATTTCTTTTATGTGGCTCTTTTGAGAGAAAAACAGCAACAACACTCACTGGAAGTATACAGTACAAGTAACTGACACAAGTGCTGTTCTGACACTTGATACACATTAACACATCACAAGGTTGTGTATTCATCTCACAAATACACAACCTTTCCTTTATCCACCGTCTGTAACATCTGTGATCAGGTCTACATGCTTCAGAGGAGCCACTCTTGTACTTTGAACTGTGTTTGTGCTTACTGTGTCATCCCCTTTCCTTCTATATGCATTGTGTAATGTATTACGTCAGAGGCTGTTTCATGTACAAACTTGATAGTATTAGTCACAGGGTCAGATTCTTTAACTTGTTGTTGCTACAAAATGGGAAACTGAGGCAACTGTGATTTAATACAATACAACACAGAGCCACCTAGTGGTGCAATACATTTTATAACTATAACTAAGTATCTCAGTGTTAGAAATTGGATTATCTTTTGGTAGTATGTTATTTTTGTGATAACTTTTGTAAATTCCTTAAAGAAACAACTTAAATTTTATATTAGCCTTGTTTTTATTGAATATTACTGAAAGTTTATTTTTTATTAGATTTGATCTTTTTTAAATTTCTTTTTATTCTACCGTTTTATTGCATTTTATAGTTTGTCTTGATGTTGTATACAACGTGATTAAATCGCTTTGAATTTCATTGTTTGTGCGAAAGGTGCAATGTAAATAAAGTTAAGTTTAGCATTGTGTATATTTTGGATATGTGTTTATATTTATTGATATTTTATATTTGGATTCTTTATAGTGGCATTTTCGTTCTACTTTGTACTGCAACTGCTGCATGACAAACTTCCCACCGGATAATTAAAGTTCTATCTTATATAATCTTATATAATATATGAGATAACATAATATATATAGCCTATATACGATGTAACCCTGTAGATCTGTAAATTGGCGTTAGATAACTCATAAGGGGAAGTGACAAAGTCATCACCTCTTCTGGGCAATGTGAGAGAGATCATGTATTATTACTATAAATAATAATTGCAGTGAACACAGATTATCAATCAAAATAAAAATGTTGATCCTAACAAAGAGCGTTTCAGCTACGATTCCTCCTCAGAATGAAAATAGCCACCATGTGTTTGGTCATGTGACCACGCTACGTGCCCAAGACGACGTGCGTGACGTTACGTTGTAGGCTTCGCTAGTTTCCTCAACCAAACACTCAACTGATAATTGTGTGATAAAAACTGGAAGTCAGCCGGTGGACGAGGGGCTACATATTGAGAAAAAGCAAGCGAACCCAGCGGTCCTCGTCGTTAGAAACAAACTCGGTCTTTTGTGTACTGAACCCGGGTTCATTGGCGAAGCAGACGGCGACAAGAATCCTGTTTTTAAACCCACCAAAGGTTGGTTTTTATTTTGCTCTGGCTGTCGAAAGGCGGGGAATACAAAGCGACTTGTGGTCTAATCTACACGATTTTGGACTCATTGAAGCAAAAACGGGATTACTCCAAAGCCAGCTGTGCTGCTGTGACTGGTCAGCGATAGTACATGGATTATCTGGTAAGTAAATGAGTCGAAATGCTGTGGTATTCGCTTATTACAACCAAACACTGGTTATAACGTTTGGTTTCTTGCCCAATCAGTGGTGTCCTCAGGTGTGTGTATCAGCCATAAGGTGTGGGTTTGTTGTTGCTTTATGCTATTATGTCAGCTCTAGCCTGTAGATTCTGTCAAGTCAGTGTTGTGTGAACAACTGGTTGACCCAGACCCCGGTGTGAAACATGTGAAACACGATAACGACTAGCTACACCCTTAAACTACTGTTGTAATGTGGCATGGGGATGTTATTCTCCATTGAACTCACTGCTGCTGCTGTGGATAAAGCTGCACTGTGGAAGTGAGACTCTCTATAACTCTACTGGTTGAAATTATTAGTCCTCTGCATACTTGTAATACCTGTGACCAAGAAACTGATTACAGTCCAGGCCACTGTGCCAGCTTCAGCCTGAGAGATTATGGTTTTTGGGCCTTTGCCCACATTGTAGGGATGGGATGGGTGCTGCTGAAAAAGTACAACAATAGAGAGGAAGCTGTAACTGAAGCCTTTTCCCTGGGAATGTATAAAGCCAGAGGAAAACTAGTACACAGACATTGTCCTGTCATTTCACAAAGAGGGGGGTGACAGTGTGAAATGCAGTGAAACTTGCCCACCCAGTGTTATCAGCTTGTTTATAATGGGCCTCCCAAGATGTGGGACCCGAGAGGAACTTTGAACTTCTGCTTCAGACTTTTCTTGAGTTGAGATTACAAAGTCCTATCCACTGGCACCAGAACAGTCGTGCTACAGTTAATACAAACTGATTCATGTCTATTATGCCTCCTGGCCTCGGAGTAACAGATCTTATGGGGAACAAAGTGGGGCATTCACAGTTTACATTCACGGTTATTGTGTAACCTTAGTTGCACGCTAATGCAAAGTATTGGGAACCAAAGGTAAACACAAGATGCATTGTTGTGAATTCACTCATGACATGTAATAAAGAAACTGATGTCTTGTTTTTCTTGTTTCAACAGTGCGTTTATGTTATAGTCAGTTTCAGCTTTGCATGCATGCTAAGAGGAAAAACAAAGTGCAGCTTACTTGCTCGAGGATTTAAGATTTTGTGTGACAAACAGTTTTTCTGTGGAAAGCTGCACAGCTGTAACTCTGTGGACTGTTGGAGCCGACTGCTTGGCTGTCCTCGGAGGTCAGCCACTCAATAGGCGCAGGGCCTCCTTCCGTGCTGTGAAACACTAGAGACCTGGCACAAAACCCAGGCCAAAACTATGTCTCTCTCTTTCCTATAAATCAATATGAATTTGTCAAAAAACTTTTGACAAATTCTGCTCGTCTTATGCGTGCTTTTAGGTTTAACGTTTTAGACCAGGTCCAAGAGGACGGGGTGAACAGGAATGTAAGCACTTAATTATTGCACACTGCTGGGGAATAACTAGGGTTTGAATCGTGACTATGGCAGAGAGATCTGGCCTATGGTGGATTCTGTTTCAGCTGCGAGCTGGAGCATGGTGAAGGACTGCATTGCTGCATAGTCAGCACAGTGTTAAAAAAGACCACACCAAACGACAGCACTGACAGAGGAATTTGGTGCTAGCTGTTGCCATGGTACAACCTTACCAAATACAAGTGGACTGTGTGACCAACTCTCGGACCCTAACTCGTTGCAGACAGGACACATTGAATGCGTCGTGAGTGACATCGAAGAGAGGGCACTATGTAAGAAAGCCAAACTATTGATCATTTCTGAAACCCATGCAAACATGCATTATTCTTCTTTGGAGGTTTTACTGTAGCAGACACTACTTTTATAAATAAAGACTTTTACTTTGTCTTTTATTGCTTAATGCTATTATGCTTACATGGTCATATTTATGCTATATATGCTATTCCAGCCTAATGCCTGTAAGTAAATTTGCAGCCTGTAGACTACTTTTTTTTTTTTTCCCCCCAACTTACACAACGTTTGCCTTTGTGGAGGAGATGACTAGTTGTTTATTTCCGCTACACATGAGTGACTAAACCCTCAGGTGAACTGACATCCAGTTATTGTAGCTCTGCCCTAAAGGAAGCCAGTTCGGAAAAAACTTTTTTTAAACTGTTTTAAAAACAACAACCCACATTTAGTTTTGTGGAGAACAACTAGTATGCTTTTTGTGGAATTTAACTTATGTCAACGACTCAGTGACAGCAGCCGCCAGGCATTGACCTCAAACCATATGGTAATGATGGGTGTGACAGATAACTGAATAGAGCCTTCTCTGCTAATAGGCTGGCCCGCACATCTACTCATCCAGCTCATGTTCACAAAGAGTAAACACGAGGAAAAGTAAGACTAAAGGAAAGGGTGATTTTTTTTAAAACGTAGGTAAGAAAGTGTTGTAACAAAGGATGTTTCTTGTTTATATATAGAATTATCCATGTCTTGATTTTCGATTTCTGGCTAATGATTGCATTTTTTTGTCGAGATGGTGAACCCCATATGTACTCTTTCCATATTTCTGAAAAGAGAACGTATTTTAGACGGCAGTTATATCACAGGCATCAACTGAGAAGTCACCTTTTCAGCTGTCAGACTATTAATAGTTTTGTCAGACTAAAGTGACAAACACCTGTTTTCAGTTAGTTTTAGACTATTACCCATGCTACCTGCCACCTGTTTGCTTTGTTGCTTCTTTGTGTCGTAGTTGTATAGATAGATAGATATTCCTTTATTTGTCCCAAAATGGGAAAATTGCAATGTTACAGCAGCAAAGTGGATAGAGAAAAAACAGTATAAAAACAGCAAGAGTAGGGAATACTATAATATAATATAGACACTATGTACAAGAGAAAAAACAGATTGTATGTAAGCCTTTGAAATGTGACCTGGTTTGGCTGTTTGGATATTGTAAGTATCATGGTTGAATTGTTATACTCTTATTGCTATATTGTGAATAAAATCTGAGCGGGTGCTGTAGATGCTTGTTAATGAACAGGCATTTAGCCACCTCGATCACATGAAAAACAAGCAACATAGTCTATAAGTTATCATCTACCCAGAAAGTCTTTATATCCAAATAATGATCTGTCTCCTCCTTTGCAGGCTCTTATTTTGGCAGGATTAACATATTTGTTAATTGATGACTTGTGAAGGTATCCTTAAGACGTCTGTAGTTCTTATACAGACTACCAGTATTTGTCAGCGTTGGACATTTTAGAACATTAAAACTACAGTATTTACTCTTCATCATTTTTTGGAAATTCACAATGAGCCACTAACCACCCAGCAAGACCCTTTTAAGCTTTAATCTGCAGTTTGTGAAAAAGAGACACATTTCCTAGTAAATAAGCTTAAAATGATGAGCTGGAAATGTGAGAATTCCTCTGATGATTGCTATCATTCTGCTGAAAGCATTTTAGTGCTTGATGCCACTAGCTTACAGGAGTTCACAGGATGTTTGTGTTGTTCCACAGATTGCTTAGGGGAATTAGCAGCATTTCGGAATATAAGGTTAAAACTGATATTTTTTAAGGATAATTAGCTATTTGTGCCTTTTCTTTGATAGCAGACAGAACAGAGGCAGACGGGAAACGCGGGAAGAGAGAAGCATTGCACACAACAAAGGTTCCCGGCCAGAACCGTACCGGAGATGGTGCAGCTATGTGGTATGCGCCTTAACCATTCGGCTATCAGGACATCCCGTTGTTTATCTGGTCAACACTAAGATCACACCTCCATGAAAATAAATGGTCTTAGTCGAAGCCTGCATGTGTTTTTGGCTGACCAACTGTATTTCAGAGCAGGCCTGTCCAAGGGCACACAGCAGGCTATAGCATATTGACATCTCACCATTGAACACAGGAAAGAAAACTGATGGGAAGTTCTTGGCAGCATATGAAAACAGCTTGTTAGCCTATGGGATGCAAGGCTGGTTGTACTTGTTGTCTCAGTTTTGTCCTCTATCTGACCGTGTTCTCCTCCACCAAGCTCCTTTCAAAGGCAAATAAAAAAAGACCCATTGTACGCAGATAAGATCGCCGAAAGTCTCACAAAAAACATTCAGCAATGTGTGTGCTTTTTATATGTGGATGGATATCAAGCTAATCTTTTTCTTAAACCATCGGTGAGAGCAGATTTATTTTACAGTTTAAGTTTGAATGGATGTTAAACCTTCCCTTGTATTTAAAGTGCATATAGCCTCCAGCTGTAATGTGAAATACCCCTCCGAGCAGGACAGCATTCCTGAACCCCCGGCCCTGATTTTAACCTGCCAGCAGCATGTCACCCAGGTTTTTGTGTGTGCTGGCTAGAATGCAGTGATTCCCCTGTCACTGTGGAGAGTGCTAGTGAGTCAGCATCTTCAGGAGATCAGGGAATATTTATGGGCTTTCATAATGCTATGATCATGATCAAGCACAGGCACTTTTCCTTTCAGCAGTTCCTTGTTGATGGGCCATTGCGCTAAAGAGGCATTAGTGAACTGTTTTTTGTATTTTTTTATTGCATTTCCTTTACTTTCTCTCAGGCCGTGCCACTCTCATTGCTTTGCCTCAGTAGAACAAACAAATAAAAAGGACATGAATAGGTGGAGGGATTTGTTGTCAGTGGTTTATTATGCTTTTATTTTATTTGAAGAGTATGGGATGGTCCATAACTGCCCTAAGCAAATGCTTTATCACTGACTCAATGAATGAATGAGCATATCTAGCTGAGACTATTTAAACTGCTGTAGAACACGCCTATTCTATACCATCTAGTGTTACATGAGGAGTTGCGTTACAAAAGATGTCCGTACTGTATATGACATGCACTGTTCAATGAAACTTCGAAAAGATAATTTTCTTTTGCTGTTGTTTGCTGTTTTTTTTTTTAAAGAGAGATGTGACAAAGGTTCTGGGCTGGATTATAACCCACAAAGTCTTATCATGTGATACTGGTCCTAAGAAAATTAGACAAACAAACAAATGAACCCCAGTGTTTTGGTTTTAAACCAGATAACGTGACGATGGACAGTAGTCATTC